CAACTTCCAATCTAAACCTAATCTTTGCAAAACAACTGCAAGCTCCAACTCTAAGTTCAACATCGCGTCGCGCGAACTTGTAAGAAACGCGTCCAACTTCTTGGCTAACCGGCGCTGCCCACTAACACTACTCGCTATCATTGCATTCGCACGACGCTCAAGATCTCTTAATAGCAACGATTTATGCGTTTCGACCTGCCATAATACAAACCTTCGCAGCCATCGGTTCACCCTCTCGGTCAAGGCGTCATTCGTCTGCTCTGCTAACTGTCGATTCTTCTCTTCTGCCCCCGACAATCTCTTCTCCATCTCACATAACTGCTCCTCAGCTGGTGACCATTGAGACCTCAACTCACTGCACTGAGCCTCCTGCTTCTCTATCAACTCCAAGTCTGAGGTCCTCGCAGCCTCTTCTTCAAAATTCAAAGGTTCACACAAACTCAAACTCAAAGCTCAAAATTAATAACTTCTTCAAACAAACTCCGTTGATGCTGAAATTTTGCAAACTTTTTTGAAATTTTTGCGTTCAGCTAAAACCAACAACCTCATGAAATTTCAGCTCAAGTTGACACTCTAGCGCGAAAATATAGCTTCCGCAAGATCCATGCTCCAAGGCCAAAGGCGTTAAGGTCGAAGTTACTTCTCTGAAATCCGAAGTTTCTTTGGTCGAAGGCCCTTCTGCGCCTTCGTCTATCCATACCAACCACTTTCGACACTCATTACCTGGTGTGCCCTATCCGTTCTTGGGCTCGTTAGAACAAGCGTGCCAATTTCTATCTATCAAGATCCTAACTAAGTCAAGTAGTTACAAATTGAAAACGTTTTGAAATATTTACTCTATCAGATCATAACTCATCTAATTCAACTTTATTGCCTACAAGTAAAAACACTAACTTGAAAGAGATAAAGCTAAATGAAAACCACTCCTCCTAACTTGTCATATACTACCAAATCATTATTTACTATACTTTGAATTGTTATTATCCTAAAAGTTTGAAATCACTAGTCTTCTATCTCTCAAATTTCTCGTTTCAAAAAAAAAAAAAAAACTACGTTTCCACACTTTGGTGCGTGCTCATTGCAATGTCTTCAATGGGTTGATTTTTTTAAAAAATTTTTGTTTGACTTTAAAATTTTGTTTGACTTTGAATCTTTAAGATTTATAGCTTGCAATAATAAACCTTGAAGTTTGCAATAATTCCTGATTTAGTAACTACTAGACTGAAGTTATAATTTTTGAAAGCAAAGCAACTTGTTTGTGATATTAATACTCTTAACCACTAACAAATTGCACGTCTAGTGCTTGAGCAGAGAAATTATCCATCGATCTTGAGACCTTTTTACCTCGTTTTCGCATTTTCCTATAAACCAACGTAGATATTCTTCGAATATAACTCTGATACTTTATTTAAACTTGTTGTATATGTATGACATAAAGAAATTGTTGAGTTGGATGATCTTAAAACATCGCGGATTCTTAGGTTTGTCAAGGATCCAAGAATTCAGCTTCTTGGAGTCGTTTGCGTTCGTCGTGAGGTCTACAACAATACATTCTTTGCTATTCTTTGTTCCAACCATATTCTTTGTTGCAAGAATACGATTAAATATTCTTTGTTGATTTAGACCTTTCTCATCCATATCCAAAATATCACATAACTTGTAATCTGTACAAAGCTGACATACTATTTTCATATGTACAATTTTACGTTGATCTCTGCAGAGCCTGATTCACCATGTTGTAGTGATTGTTTAAACTTGTAGCACTTGTTGAAGTTTTTCAACAAGTGCTACAAGTTCAACCAACCATTCAACCATTTTGATATTGTCGTATACTTGTATTAAGCCAAAGTATAATATCTCTGTGCTCTTTCAGTATGTAGCCAATGATAATGTCTTTAGAGTCTTGTATGTGTTGTTGAAATTCAAATAATGCAGCCTCTAGTTCGAGTCATTCATCGGTATGACTCTTGATCTTGTTGTGCATCACTTTAAATACTCTCTTGAAATGCTTGTCATCAAAATGATTGCATTTGATGCTTAAGGCGCGAGATCTTAACCAAGTGACAAGTCGTTCTTCGTGATACAATTAGCAACTTCATGTTGTGACTAACTAGTATTGGACAAAAAGCGCTTCTAGATAATGCATTTCTCAGCATTGCTCGAGACTCTACGTCGTTTCTAGTTGTCCATTTTGATGTTTGTTTTGTTGTGGATTTAACAATGATATGCGTCAAGGTCAAAATAGATGAGATCAAAAAATTGAGATCGTGAATCACTAAGTAAATTTGTATGTCCAAAAACTACTTAGTTTGTACTCTTAAATTTTTGCAACCGCAAAAAATATTATTATCTACGAGGTTATCCTCATAAAGAGTATACTTATATCAAATTTAATTGTAATGATGTTGTACGAATGTACTTTTAGATATATTAAATATTAATATTTTATAAGCATCTCATAGAAGTTAAATTTGGACTTTATTTTAGTAGGCCTACAATTGACTATGATGATGTATAATCATTGATTATGATTCATTCAATCTTATTTTGATATGGGAATTTTAAATGGTGATTGTTATTGTCAAATCTTGTTACATTAGATATCTTTATATTTTTTGAATATCAAACAATCCAATTTTTATGATATATGATCAATCTTACAGAATTGAACATATTGAATATATTAATATTCAAGTATCTGATAAAATGTATATTTTTAAACTCAAAAGAGATTCATTCATGATATGAGAATAATATTCATCATTCTTGAATTGGTATTGAGTGAAATTCTGAAAATTTATGTAAGTATTTGAACTTCAAAAGTAACTTTATTCTCAAGTTGGAATGCTCAAAATATTTTTTATTATGATTTTTTGAAACTAATTGATGATTAAAATTTTGAAATTACAAAATGTGCATTACATCTTATTGGTATATAAATTATACCGAACATAATAAATTACATGTGAAAAGTCAGAATTAAATATATTTTATTGAAATTCATGCATTGATATGTAATATTGATCATATACATTAATATAAAATAATTTTAAATCTGTTCATATGTTACATCATCATATTTTTTTGAAGTATTTTCATGAACTTGGATTGCAATATATATATTTCTTCAGGGTAATTTACCTGAAAAAATAATTTAAAGAATTTAATTCTGCCGTTGTCACTGCGAATTGATTCATACATTGAAGTTATAAGAAATATACCTTTGAATAGATTCTAATAAATTACCAGGGTTAGATGCTTCGTGATCATTACGGGGCGACTGTAATGTGATGCCGAAATCATATTTATAGTTTTTGACCAAAAATAACTCTTGCAAGACACAGGAATATATTGGAAAAGAAGGATAGTTCAAACAACTCATTTGAAACTAACTCTTTTGTTCTTGAAACAATTGCACTATTCCGTTGAAACTATCAAATATATCTAAGGTGATCATATTCGTGACAAGATATTAACATATGAATCCGAACGAGGATAAAGCTTTGTTTCTAGATTGAATGGAATGGCGATTCGAGATCTATTAGGGTGCTACTTTTCCGAAAGGACAACTTGGTGGTTCTGTAGACACTCACCACCACTGTTATAGCAGAGAGATCGACAAATTTAGCCGAGGGCAAGCATGGAAACCCAACAACCATCCGTCCACATGAGAAGCTGGGTGGTGGCCCTCAAACGAGCACTCGGGTGCAGCAGTGGTTGCCTCTCCGTGGACCGTGCGTGATACCGAGACGGAAGGTCAAACATGGGTGGCACGGTCCATGTGCGTTCGAGAGTGCTCTTTACGGCACGGAAGTCGTATGCGGTTCACATGCGGTGGACTTTAGTCCCTCACCACCGTGCACTGGTTTCCGAACATAGTAGAGAGGTGGTAGGAGACCTCACGACACGCCGGCGTATAATGTCGATGTCTTTAGTCAACCATATATCGCGACGCAAAACTGCGGTTAAGAGTCCGGCAACCGCGTACTGTCTCTCCCGAAGACTTCCAAAAAGTTCAGAAGATGTGAATATGAGCCGTCCGATTGACACATCAACAGTTGAGGTTGCACAAAGTAGACCTGGCCTCCGGTTTTCTTCTGACCAGGTGAATACCCTCGCTTGCGTCACGGGCCGGAATCTGGAGATGCGAATCGAAGGCTGACGGGAGCATGTGGGGCCCCGTCTCCTTGCTTTGTGGAGCTGGGACATTCTGAACCATCGAATTTCTCGGTGTGGGTCCCGCCCAGCAGTACATGCTCCTTCCCCTTCTACACGCTGGACCGGCCTGAACTGCAACGCTAACTGACCAAGTCGTAAACGTGGTGCCGCATTAACACTTTCTCCGACGATTATGCTACCACTTCTCTCGAAGCCGAGGAATGTAGGCGAGAATCGCTAGACAGGACAAAAGTGCTGCGCTTCGGTGTTTCGGCGAGTTTAATGGAGGAAGGGATTGAAGAAATAAATAAAATAAAAATTATTGACCAATGAGAAGGATCTGCGGGCTGAAATAGGCGGAGTCCTTGATCCCGCCGGCGGATATTCTCTATTGGAAGATACGAATCCTCACCGACTTCGACGAGCGCGCCAGCCTCTGGAGTTTCCGACCGGACCGAGCCAGACGAGAACAACGTTTCTGATTGCGAAGACCGCCGTCGACGCGTTTCGCGGCAGTGGGGACGAAGCGGGGTCGAGTTCGCCGACCGCGTCCATGCTGCAGAAGGCCAGCAGAAGGCGCCGATGGGCGGAGGGAGGGAGGAGGGGACGGACGGCCGGCCGGAAAGGGAGGCGGGGCCGCACGAGGTCGTATGCGGCAACAGAAAGGGCGTCCAGGTGGCGGGAGGCGACGGGCGCAGACCTCGACTGAATTGAGCGCATGGGGCGATGCGGACCAATCATGGCTCGCACGTCTCCCAGCCAGCCAAGCGAGCGCTTTGCTGCTGTCGCTCGCTCGCTCCCCTACACCACCAGCTGCAGCTGCTGAGGCTGAAGCAGAGAAGCAAGCTCTCGCTCGCTTAGGGCATTGCTCCCTCCTCCCGCACTTTCTCCTCTCGGCTCCTCCTCCACCACTACTACCAGCACACAGCAGGTCCGCCGTGTGCTGCATCATCGGTCAGAGCATTATTAGTCGCAGCATTCGCTCGGTCAGTCGTCGGGAGAGGCGGATCGGTCTCGCGATCGATTCGGTGGAGTTGGTCAGTCAACCTCTCGCGATTGGCAAGGGTGGTTTTATCTTCGGCAGCGAGGGAGAGATTGATCGATTCCTCGAGGCGGTGATCGATCGCGAGGCCGAGGCGACAGGAGATTGCGTCGGGTGAATTTTCTGTGTTGTGTGTGGTTTGAGAAGAAGGCAGCGATGGCCATGGTCGATCGAAGGTCTGCGGAGCAGTCATTGCTGCCCCAGCATTTGTACAACGCCAGCAGCGTCAGGTCGTTGCTGTCCAGGACCTCCGGTGGGGCTCCAGCGGCTGCCGCATCCACCGCTGCCTTGTATGACCCATTCGCCAGGTTCAGGCCCAACAGCGCCAAGAATGTCGGCGCTTCCAGATCCAGCGTTGCGGCTGCCCAAGGATCCAACTTCATGATCCCCTCGGCTTCTGAGCCAGGCAAAATTGCCATGTACTCTAAGGAGTTTTACGCCGCCTGCACTTTCGGTGGTATCATGAGTTGCGGTCTTACCCACACCATGGTTACTCCTTTGGACGTCGTCAAGTGTAACATTCAGGTTTGTGAGGATTTATCTTCTTTGTAGTATTTCAAACCATATATTTTCTTGGTTTGTTCGGATAGCCATATCCGTGCGTTGTCCAAGTGTTGAATGTTATGACATGTATCGTTGGGGATTCTGATCTGTGCAACCACAAGGCTCTTATGGTTCAAAGTAATGTGAAATTTCCTGGTCAAATGCTCGACGGACTGTCTTGTTTTGCGATCAACTGTTTGTCTAATCTTACTATGGAAACATGTCATTCTTGCTTTTCTGATACAAGATTTTACCATGGCGACATGTCACTTTCAGATCGACCCTGCCAAATACAAGGGTATTGGTCATGGTTTCAAGACCATTCTGGCCGAACAGGGCATGAAAGGTTTGGTGAAGGGATGGGTCCCTACTCTGCTCGGATACAGTGCTCAAGGAGCCTGCAAATTTGGTCTGTACGAGTTCTTCAAGAAGTATTATTCTGACTTGGCTGGAGAGGAGAACGCTTATAAGTACAAGACCTTCATCTACCTGGCTGGTTCTGCTTCTGCTGAGTTCTTCGCAGATATTGCTCTGTGCCCTATGGAGGCCATCAAAGTGCGTGTGCAGACGAAGCCTGGATTTGCTAACGGTCTCTCAGATGGTTTCACAAAGTTCGTTGCCGCTGATGGTTACGCTGGGTAAGTCTTGGATTTTCTTGAGCATTTATCGCATTATCTCGTGACGACTGTTGCATCAATATATATTCTTATAGATGAGATGTGCGACCATCTTGGTTTCTATCGTGCGCATCATTTCAGACTAAGCGTTGGTACCCAGTATTTTTCTGTATAGTTTCGTTAATTGGGCCATATTGTTCGATTTCTGCAGACTCTACAAGGGACTGGTTCCACTCTGGGGTCGCCAAATTCCTTGTAAGTACTCGCTTCGTTGACGTATTTACCTCCTTGCCTTCAGTTTGAAACTTTTCTTGGTAGCCCAGTGTCTCCAATCAGAGTACAGTTTCAGTTTGAATTTCTCGTTTGCAGTAGAGGTGAATGGTTGGTATGATCAAAGATGATTGGAGATCTGGCTTAGGTTTAATGCATTCACTTGGATTTCTAGCGTAGTCTATTTCTTGCTCCTTTCTAGAGGGATTTTTAAACGGCGGAGAAGAACAATGTGTTCTTACTTCTTGATGATAGCGATATTATCCAGGCAAATTACGAATGTACGGTTGTTCGATGTCTGTTCAGCTGGATCGTGTCACGTTACAGGATTTGTAAGTTGACATATATATTATATTATGCAGACACCATGATGAAGTTCGCCTGTTTCGAGAGCACTGTCGAGGCCCTCTACAAGTACGTTGTGCCAGTCCCAAAGAAGGACTGCTCCAAGGGCACCCAATTGGGAGTCAGTTTTGCCGCTGGTTACATCGCTGGAGTTTTCTGCGCTATTGTGTCTCATCCAGCTGATAACCTTGTTTCCTTCCTCAACAACGCCAAGGGCGCCACTGTTGGACAAGTATGTCAATCATTCTTGTTAACTTTTTATGGTGTTGAGTCAAGCTTATGTTCTTCATCACCCGATACCCAACTGTTCGTGATGCCACAAGCGGTCTATTTTTTATGCTGATTTTGTTTCGGTTGTAATGTCACAGGCCGTTAACCAAATGGGTATGGTGGCTCTCTTCACCCGAGGTCTACCTCTTCGAATTGTGATGATCGGAACACTAACAGGAGCTCAGTGGGGTATTTATGACGCATTCAAGGTCTTCGTTGGACTGTAAGTTGCATACATCTTGCACACCTCTTCCCTCTCTATCTCCCTATTTCTGCGTACTTGGTTATTAGGGTTATGCCAAAACTATCATTTACGATTGCTGAATGTGTTCAGGTTGAGGGAATGTAGTAATCAGATGTACATAGACTGAATCATTAAATCTAGAGTACGTGGATGTTCAGTACATCTGTCGAACTGGGTTAACGGTGCCCTGTTTTTCTTCTGCATATCAGGCCAACTACGGGAAGCGCCCCAACTGATGAGAAGGCGAAGTCACATTAATTGCGGCGGACTGATTTCTGACGAGCATATTTCCAACATGTATTGCCCATATATGGACAATGGTTTCTGATGTGGGTACAATCAATTGATAATGAGGAGAAAGCCATCAAAAGGGCACCTCAAACGGCATCTTTACTTTTTCAACCCACAAGATACTACACAGAGCTTTCCTGTCACTTCTTATATTAGTTGCTCTTATTCCAGAGGAAATCATTAACATTTTTGCCAGAGTATGAAATTTGTTATAGTTATCGTAGCCCAGCCTCGCACCCATTCACAAGGCATCCGGTTGAGTGGAGAGCACTTGTAAATGGCTCATAAATTGGTCTGATTTTGGACTTATCCAAATTTTCTAAAGACGGAAGTTTCTTCCACCTTTTTTCTTTGGAAAAGAACCCACTAGTAGTTTGTAGAAAATTGTGTTCAAGCATCCACTTGAAAAAGATTTGACTTTCATAGCTAATGTCTTGCATGTATCACTTACGAGGAAGAACGTTCACCGCGAGTGAGGAGCTTAGCTTTGAGTGATAATTTACATTCATTGACCTCTGAATTGCTCGATGTTTTGAATGTTACCAGGCCATGCACTTGTCTGCCATTTGAGATGTCATTGGTGATTTGGCTTGGGATCGTAGTGTCTACTTTGAAACAGATGTGGTACGTAACATGGTTTGTACATTCATGGCCTTAGGTGGCTGGCCCATCGTGGACTCATGAGGTCTTGCGGTCAGTCTTGGTGCATTCGACAACTAAAGTTAGAGATGCCTTGTTCTCTTTCGATCGTTTGTGGTAGAACATCCTAAACATTATAACAGGAGTAACACGGACAGTTCCAAGCATCCTCCATTGCAGGCACCAAAGTTTGGTGTATCATTCAAAATAAGAGGGTTCAATCACTACGGCAGTAATAATACCATCGTGAGACAGGAGTAATACTCATCCGATCCAATCCAACGTAACACTTGAACATGATGACTTGCTTCGTCTTGCACAATGCATAGTTGCATTTCATTCTACCTCTAGTTCACATTCTCTCACGTGCCGCCTCTCTGTTCAAGTTTGTTTTGTCTGAACCGCGACCTCTCAGGTTTCTCTTCTTCAAAATTACGAGAGCGGGAGGGAGTCGGTTCTCTACACATGTCCACGCTTACGCAAGTCTGCTGAAATGTGATGGACCGTTTGTATTATGTGTGGACGATTCATGACAGAAGCTGTATTGTACATTAACTTCGAAACAAAGGAGTCGTACTTGAGATTATAGTAATCAGGTCAACAGCACGACGAAAAAACTGACGAAATGCTTGTTACAGTTATCCAACGCCAGAAATGCTCCAACAGTAAACTTCTAGTAGCAGATATACCAAGAACGGCACAATTTGAACCTTACACAACACTGGACAGAAAACATGTCGGGCGTCTCAAGAGGAATAGTCCTATCAGCGATGTCAATCACATACTTCAGTAAACTAGATATGGCGAGGTGACTAAAATGACAATGAACAATTAAATTTATTGCTTGTGACGAAGTTTTGCAATGAAATGTATGGGAAATGAAAATAGACGTATTTACTTGATGGGACACATTAGAACCTAAAGGGGTTCCTGGTCACCTTCAAGTTTCGTGTTCCTGGTAAACTTTAAGTGTAGTGTTTTTAGATAGGACACCATAGGCGGTACATGTCACACATGTTATAGTATCAAGAAACGGTGGAGGTAATGCAAGGATGACAGCGTCAATGTCCTCGCGTGACTGTAATCTCCGTTCATCATTGAATCGCTCTAATATACACTCAGTACAATCGGACTCGAAGATTTCCCCATTACACTCGAATTCTCAAGTACTCTGCTTCATTCCTTGTAAATTTCCTCCACATATTCCACATCGAGTACAATTTTCGAAAACTCAAAATTCAAAACCTTTCTGCGTTTGTCACATCGTTTTGCGATCGTAGAGTTCCACTAAAGCTCGCATATGATGTGAGCTTTAGTTTACAATAACACATATTAGAACTTTGTGAGTGAGTGTTATCGATGGTTTCCATGGATAAAATGAAACTTGATGAGTCTCATCAATCAATTTAGGTTCTAATGGGTCCAACTAGGATTATGTATAATAATCAGCTTCAACATTTGATGAGTTTAATATTGTATTATACATTATTATACACATTTGAATATGTAGAGTGATCTAACGGCTGAGATGTTACATTTCTCCGCTTAATCCTTTGATCTCGACACGTCTTTAACCTCACAAGCACCATTACGAAACCGAAGCAACAAGCTCGACCAAAGTAACAAGCTGGAAGGTAGAGATTTTACAAAAAGCAATGTGAAAAGTGGCACCGACAAAATCCACACAATGTTAATGTGGGTTAATCTGAATTAGTCAATTTTTTCCTGTAATTGACAATGAAAGTGCATTAGTGAGATTGCAAACTCTAGCGATTTCGTGGGATCAAAGGTGCAAATTCTACATAGAGCACTATGAAAGTTGACGTTGGCAAAATCGACACTCTATCAGGTAAATTCATCTGAAGTAGTTGGATCTCGATTGCGATTTCGTGTTTGCTTTAAAATTATTAAAATAAAATGATTAATATATATTTTAATTTCACACTACTGTAAAATCAGGCTCACTTCTTTCATCTTACATCAATCATAATTTTTTAAGATATCATTACAACTCATGTGTATTATTCTTTAATTTTTTCTTCAAAATCTCACCAATAATTGTCACATGTAGATAACTTTGTCAATATAGATCTTCAAATGCTTTTGTTTTTCAATTTTGAAAGCTAACCCGTTGGATTTTTCATACTTTATGATAGACTTAAGTCGAACATGATACCATTGGATTGCATTTGCGACACAAGGTACATCAAGCCAATCATAGATTTAAGACACTTTGTGCATGTAATCACATGTGATTTCAAACGATTGACCTTGGTCGTGATGCCATCTGAACTTCAAGGTCTTTTCATTGATTATAAAAAACTTGTTGGAATCAAATAAACTTCATATAAGGTGCCGAGGTCTTTTCATTGACTATAAAACACTTGTTGGAATCAAATAAACTTCATATAAGGTGCCGAGGTCTTTTCATTGACTATAAAACACTTGTTGGAATCAAATAAACTTCATATAGGGTGCCGAGGTCAGCTGCCAAGTGTAGACATTGATTTGTTAGACATGATAAATGGCAAATGATTTGATTTGCAATCTGAAATTGCAATCAAAATCCAAAATTTCAATTGAAATTCGGAAATGCAATTGAAACACACACAAAATTGCAATCCAGATCTTCAAGTTTTGCAAACTCATTCATAAACTACGAGTGCAATTTTACAAGATTTTCTTTAATAAAATTCTTCTTTGAACTATTCTAAATCTCTCAAACTTTGAACTTTCAGTAATCAACTTACAGCATGAAATACTTCCAGGCAAATATTTGGGAAGGAAAAATGCTCTCTACATGATCTTTTGAATTTAATCAAAACGTATCAGGCAATAGTTACTTCATGCCTTAGTCTCATTCAAAGAGACAATGGTTCACAACAAATACATATTTTTCATATCTATTTTTATCGGCTTTGATTTTTGAAATCAGACGCAATACATAGACATTAACGGTTCAGCAAAGAAGAAAGCCAAGTTGAATTAATCGTCGGTGGTTGTGAAAGATGAGGAAGTAGTGCAACCAGCATCATCCCACATATCAACAAATCTTTGTCGAGCCAATCCACAATTTTTTGTTGATTCTCTTTTAGTAGATGATCATGATAATATGAACATTATGTTTGAAAATGCAATGCATCATACGTCTACTCCATTCACTTTCTTTGAACATGCATTATGGAAGAAATTCTTCAAGGCGCTTCGAGCTATTTGGACTCCTACTTCTTAAACTATTAGCATCACTCTATTGATGTCTTCGTACGCAGATGTTATGAATGAGGTATTTTGTAATCTGCGGAAATTTTCTTCTATTTGCTTCTCTTTGGATGGTGTCTCAAACGTGAAAAGCAAGCAGCTATTGAATCTAATGGCATGTGTTTGAAAAGTTTTTTTCTATAACATTTTGCAATGAAACTGCGCCGAGAAAATGCTCACAATCTTCTAGCCAAGTTAGTGGAGACGAAGAAGCAATTGATGATGACTTTAGCTACTCCAGCTGCAGATGTGGAGCAAAGCCAAGATGTTCAGCTGCTTCTTACTAATCCATTGATTGAAATTATGTTTTGTTTACTTCAAATAGTTCCAATGTAATGGTTTTGCTTTGCAGGAAGGTGTTGTAGTTGTCAGATTTCACAGTTGCATTTGGATCTACTGCACATGGTTTGAATGTTTTCACATTGGATATTTTCAAGAAGCTTGATATTACAAAAGCGAGTGTTAAGGAGTTTGTATACTTGGTGAAAATCATTCATCTACTCTATGAAAGCTTGTGTAAAGAGAAACTTGGAATTGTTTATGTGCTGATTATATTCATCAAATCTCGTTGAACCACAAGCTTGCATATGTACGCTCAACTGAACTTGTTCAAGATGATTCTTTTTCTTCTTCCTTCCACCATATATGTTGGTGAATTGGATATTGATATCGATGAGATTGTGAAGCAGCGGGTTCTGAAGATCACCTTTTGGAAGCAATCAACCATCATGGAAGTTTTTCTCCAGCTGCTTTTTGCAACCACATGACATTTGGAAGGCGATGCTTCTACATTCTCCTCCATTTGGGCGTGTTTTTTAATGATCAAGATCCACATTATATCTCTCTCAAAGGAGACTCACACAGTTCTTGGTCTGGAGGAGTACTATCATATTGAGAAGCTTGTCAAGATGCTTACTCGACGGTTAGCTACGATCTATTCTGCATTCATGACATTGGTCATCTCTACATATCCATATCATCATCAATTTTGCATGGATGTTGAGATCACATACAGTATGGAGTTCGTGAAGTTGGGCAAGGGTTTCATGAACGGGCAATGCTGGGTAGCTCTTCAGCAGTTCGTGAAGAATTCACCCGACCTTGTTAGGAAGCTGATCACTTACTTCTTTCAAATTCTATCACGCCGCATTGACCCATCCGATCTATATCTCCAACTAAAATATGCATCCACATCTGATTTGGGTACAAATGAGCAATGAATTTAAATATCTATCTACTCCCTTGATCCGAATTCATCAACTTCCTACATGATCTTCCGGTGACAAGCGAAATCATAAGACGGGCAAGCGTATGCAAAGCAAAATGTAAGTCAACCTGGACAAGTTCAAAGTTGATGGTCAGACTACAATATGCTACAATGGCACAGTTCTTTGTCAACAAGAAAAATCTCATGGAGACGAGAAAAATGAACTTTTCTTGTAAAAAAATTCATCTCTTACGATTCTGGTCGATAAGACATTTGAGCCATAGGTAGAATCATCCAAACAAGTCATGAAATATGAGCTTCGAATGGACAAGATTGCCAGAGATGAGATAAGAGAGTTTGCAATCCTAGACTTAAAAATGAGTTCAGAAAAATTCAATTTGGAACTATTTGCCGAAGATTATGATGTCGAGTCAGAAGCAATGGCGTTTGTATATCAGTGAAATTTGACAAAGAGCTACAATAAAAATCCGAATTGGTGAAAATCACTACTCTTGAATCTTCAATTGCTCTTGATCGTGTCTTTGATGACTAAGCAATCCGTTTGCTTGAACATTCTAACACAGTTTCTACATTTTGTAAAATCGGTTTTGGTGTGTACCAGCACAATTTGAGTCTAGACTTACCAGATGCTAAGTTAGCAATTGCATTTGATAAACTCACATAGTGTTCAGTTTTGAGGAATTCTGATTTAGCTCAGAAATTAAAGCAGAGGTTGAATATCGGCAAAGAGAAACAATTCCGAACTCTTCTTCCTGATGTAAATTTGTTCATATACTACATTATTAAAAATCAATGAAAAGAAATCTATGATATTGTAGAGCTAGCCTGTCATAGAGTAAACTTGAACCGTTTCATTCAATAGAATGGATACAAAATATTGCTATATCACTTTCTTGGTCTTTACAAGAATATGGGCGTACCGTTGATGGAATCTTGTCTAACTGACTAACTTGCCAGTAAGATGTTAGGTTCATGGATGATGCAAACTAACGTGTTATGATGTCGATATCTTTTCTTGTTGATGGATGGTTTGTTTACTTGCGTAGGATAAGCACGATATGTAGTTGAGATTTATGGGTAGTAAAGATCATAATGGAGAATCGTTGTCTCATAAGATGTTATGGGATGCTACCTTGAACTTTCTTCTTGCCGGAAGGTATACAACTGCTATTACTTTAGATTGGTCCATGTACTTGCTAACCTGCAATCTTGAGGTTGCCCAACCTTGCAACCAGGAGTTGATTGAAGTTTTTGGCGAAAGGGAGAAAGATGATGTTGGTAGAGAAACTCGTATCTTTTGAACTTCGCAAATTCTTACTTTCGATGCTCTTCGAAGGCTCCATCAGATTCACGCTACTTTGAGCATAACTTTATGGTTGTATCAATCTATTTATGTTCAAGGTACTAACCCAATTTCATTCCATCACAAAAATGCAACAATGCACAATACCCAAGTTTAGAGTACTTTTCGCTGTGAATAAATCGCACATGGAGATTTCAAAGTACAAGGGCAAAATCTTTAGGAATGTACATGAAGTATTTCACGGAGAAAATGGCCTTAGTCTCAAAAGCATGACTATAGAGAACATATCTCACTGATATACTTTGGTCTATTGATAGCCTAGCATCGTAAAGTATTCTTGATCATTCTGAAAACTTTTGTGAAATTCATTCACAGTCTTCGTAAAATTCAATTAAATTTAATACAATAAAATATAGATGGATTTTTTAAGCCATGTATTACACTCTGTGTATAGTACTTTGGTTAAATATGTAGACATCAGTAGTCCCAATAAGTAAAATAACTCAAAAAAATACTTGAACATTGGCATTGCAAAATGATGGTTCAATATTGCGGAGAATACAAGTTGCGATTGAACTGACTGCGGTGATACTATACCATGTATCTTGCATAGACTATCACATGGATGTCGTCACACAAATGCAGATCCCTAAATCCTATCAACCATATCCAGGCATGGTCATTTTAGACTTCCGCCTAAATTGACACTAGCTCTAGCGCATAAATTAACCTAGGATCTAGATTGTAATTGATTCAAAATTAGAGCGTGATATATTTCAGCGAGTCAGATGTGATGATTGTTAATTTGTTTGTTAGCAAGTTAGACTCATAGTTAATAGAGGTTGTGAGGTTTCTCTCGCACACGAATCTCTCACAGCACAATGGTGAGCTGCGTGATGGTGCCTCTCTCTCTCTCTACCTCCAAACCCCTCGCTTGGTCTCAATGTGGCTTTTAGAAGAACAGCCAAAAAATTAGAATAAATTAACTTTCTGGATGAGAATAAATTAAGCTAATTTAGGCGACTGACTAATATAACCATGCATGAACATATCATGACGGGAGTGAAGTTGTATTGATAATGGACTTTTTATCTTGGTAAAGCATTTTACTAAAAAAAGCGTAGCTAAAGCAGTTCATTTTGATTAGATTATAGAGAAATGTGACATAATTTGATAAATTTTTAATCTTAGAATCGTAAGTTTTGAAGCCTACTTTTTATGCAAACAAAGTATATCGATTCATTTATTAACATATCATGGCAATAGATAGATGTTCAAATTCTGGATCAAATATGAGAAGAGAAATTGCTACCAAAAAAATGATCAAATAAGTTGATATTTAAAATCACATTGATGTTCAAATAGATCTTGGTAGACTTTGATCGTTTAAAGAGCTGGCTAAAGTTTTGAATTATATTTTTTTAACATCTTATAGGAGAGCTATTTCTAGACTATTATAATATAATATCTTCTGTCTTAATATGTATGTAAGTATCAACAAAGAAGCAGTTATTCTTTATAGTATTGGATATGGATTTTTAAGCACCTTAAAGGAGAGAGGGAGTAAGACGAGTTAAGATGGGGTTTCAGGAAGTAAATATGTGAAGAGTATTCCGTCCAAGAGTTTCTGTTCTGTTTTCTCCAAGTAAGACGAGTGAAGATGGGGTTCCAGTAAATTAATCTCTGGACTGTGTTCCGTCCAAGAGTTTCCGTTCTGTTTTCTCGAAGGTAATCCAATCCCGACTCCTGGGCCGAATGGATAGCGCACCATGGGGCGGCTTTTCCTTGTCCCATTCTCGAGCGAGCGAGCAAATGGACACGCCTCCGAGAGTACAGTGTGTGAAGATGGATGAGATGGTGCCAGATCTCGGGGAGAGGATTTTGGATGTTGGCCATGGCGGGAGCAGCTCTGTGTTTACCCCGTGCGCCATCGACGCTCGTTTCTGGTGCTGGTCACCAAGAGTGTGGATCATCGGAATGTTCGGCCACCTCCAGGTTCTGCGAGCGAGGCGCAATCCATCTCGCAGTCGCACGATCGGAATTGTTTAGGAATCGATTTCGCAGCCGCTCTGCTTCCATGAGTCGCTGCTGTAGTTTCCCCGTGTCCGAGTTCAGGGTCTGCCAAGTGATTGCCTCCGGGGCTGGTGGTAGACTCGCGCCTTACTCTCAGAGAATAATCGATGGTTGCGTTGGAGGTCACAGGTCTGACGAGAATCGCCTCGTGGTCAGCCACAGTCGAAAAGGAGCCTTCGATCGCTGCCGCAGAGTTGAGCTAAACCAGCTGAATTTCTGCAATTGTGGGAGTCCGGTGTCGTTTAGGGTTCACGCCAGCGCCAGTGACGAGCGTGCGACGATCGTGGGCTCGAGCGACGAGCAAATAGAGCAACTTCGATCAGAGGACGAGCCCCTTCCGACTATGGAGGAAATTCAGGAGGTGGCAGCAGAGCAGGGATTGAAGATTGAAGTCCGGACGCTGGGGCCATGGTTTCAGATCAATCTGATGAGCGCCGACGAGAAAATCACGATGGGCACTGCAGAAGGATTTGAGACTTGGTGGATCGAGGGCAAGATTCTGCATTTGGAATCCGTTCGTTTGACTAAGGACGCCCCGAAGGGTGTTTCAGTTTTGGGTCCTGGATTTCTGGTCGGTGCCGCTTGCGTGCGCTATGGGCTTGACAAGAATTGCCCAAAAGCAGAGCTTCTGGCCATCAACGACGATGACACCACTCACTCCAAGCTGGTTCGATATTACTCAAGACTGGGTTTCAAGACCAGGTATGAGGTGACAGGAGAGGGCTGGGCCGAACTTCCCGACAGGGTAGTGTGGGGCGGAGTTGGTACGCGTATGGATGCAGATTGCTATCAGCTCTTAAGAAAGTGGGCCAAACTACTCAGACCCAAATCTAAACAAGAGGGATTGAGTAGTAGCAAGGGCTTTTCATCGGATAAAGTACAGCAAAAGAAATAAAACATTCTTCTGTTCCACATTTCTGTACTCGCCATCTGAGAAAATGAACTGACGTTGTCAATGGAATCGGTAGTTTGGAACAAGTTCCGTAAAAACCACAGTTCAGAACCAATCTTCCTCCTACACCACGGTTCAGAATTCTCACAAACTAAACGTGAACACATTGATCCTCAAGTTTATCACTTGACTATGCCAACATTTCATAAACCGGAAGTCAGAAGAGCAATCAGTCATCGTACAACCCGAACGCTTGATTCTCTATGTCCTTGTGTGTGTACACATGGTGTCCTGGCCTTTCGTCACAGCTCTAGACCACATACTACGCCACTGCCTTCACACCTTCAGTTATTTTATGCCCAGCCCTATTGTGCTCGTGTGCCAAGTAAAACTGAGTCTACAATCGGTAAGTCTACTACTCAGATCTGCTCTTCTTACACGGGCAACTGTGTGGTTACTAAATACACGGTGGCTAACACAATTCGAAGACGAATTACGCACTATTTCCCGAGTTCTGGAGTTGGACAGTGTTCCTGTCATTGTAGGTCGTTGCTCGCTGCATCGTCCTTCTGGCCTAATCTACCATCTAGCGTCGTCCAACATCTTCTGGTGTGATGAAGGACCACAGAATCGCTTACGAGACATCAGTTCCATTACCCAGACTGGAACTAGATGACGTTCGAGTTGAGTCACATCTCGGCCGAAGAAGACTTCTTTGGCTTCGACGGGTCCGAAGAGCCGGATTAAAAATTCTTTGAAGCCAAATAGTTCGCACTTGATAGACTCTTCTCTAACCCTTGACATCCAGGTTAATCTCCAGTTGCCTGGAGCATTTCGACAACTTCACAACATCTAGTCTACAATGTATTCAAAGCTTTGCTGCGTCTACGACGACAGAAAACTCGAGTCAACTTAACATTACTTATTTTCATTACAAGATTGTAATGTGATTGAGAATGTAGCGAGACACCGTGAAACACTTGATTAATTATGATAATCCCAAGCTCAAAGTCACGCAGAAACCTGAGGACTCAGAGCAAATACTCCAAAGACCTTCAAGGTACCTGATGACACGCTCCTGCGACGTTTAGGGGTTTAAGGTTTATGGTTTTAAATTTGTGACAGCAAATTTAAAACATCCCCTACACATACACACGTTCAGCTACAGACAGCACTGTAAAACAACAACTGGATAGAAGACTTCGTAAATAATCACCACGGAAAACCGCGATATATATAACATGTAATCCACTGCTGAAAAATCTTGTGGCTTCCAGCATACCAACCTATTCCAAAGCTAAAAAAACGAGAAAAGCTGAATCAATTCGAGACTGAATCCAACCAATCCAAGTCATACGACTATGCGATCTCATGGAAAGGAGCGATAAGCAGTCACAACATTAGATGACAGATTGTCAGCCCGGCCGACAGACAGGGGAATCAGCCAATTGAGAGATGACATGTAGTAAAAAATAAATAACCCAAGAGATTTTGATTCATCTCAACCTGATTGAAACGGTCTTTGTGACTAAAAGAAAATTTGACAATCAGTCCAGAACTGAATCATAATTAGTGTAACACAAACTCTGAAGTTCCACACATGGTAACAGGGAAGAGTTCAGACGGGTTTTCAATGAGTCAGGGAACCTGCATCCACTTACAGATTTCTCTAGAATATCCTAGAGAGTGGCTAGCAGAGTCCTATCTATGCTCTCTCCCCTACTTTGACTGACTGTGCATCATGCACAAAACAATGTCCATATTTCATCTGAAACAATAGCTCGATTATGATAATGAGCAAGAGAAAAAATAGCACACTTCGGAAGAGTGAAGATGGTCATCTGGAGACAGGGACAAGGTTCCGATGAAGGAAGAGCACATTGCGTACATCCTTCCACAAGAAAACCCTGAAAGTGGAGAGCAGCAGCTTAGATCCCGAGAATGGAATCCGTAACTTACAGCTGCTTTGTTTAGTATACATTCAAGTGAGAAATCACAGACAGTCCAGATATACATTGGACTCTAAGGTACCTCACAAGAAGAGCTTTGGAGGGATGAGAAGAACTCAAGGGCAACAAAGTTACCCATAATTCATGGCACCAAAATTTGAACTTCTTACTCCTACCGTCAATGATGATGTGTGATCCTTAACATGGGGGAGAAACTTCACATGGCTGGCTGAGCCGTCTGCTGACAATGCTTTCTCAGTCTATCCCACGTCTCTTGCCTTCTGATCTTACTCCCTTTTTATACTGGCGATTGTGAAAGTTGAGAAACAAGGCAAGCAGCAGTGCATTGAAGACTGCGTTAAAAACCCAAGCACCCATTCCCGAGCAGCCTGCCCCTGTAAAATGATACCACAACGTACCCATCGAAGCCACGAAGCTAAAAACAAATTGCAGAATCTGCAGATTCGTGACAAGTTTCTTCCAAGCGGGTGGCTTGCCTATACTACAGAGGAGATAATATGTGTACATTACAACGTGGACGCCAGTATTGGTAAGAAGCGCTACAATTTGGAGAGACATGGCGTACTCGAGCCAAAAGAACGACATAAAGATCACCGTAACATGGTGAAAAACGTGCAGGAAGGTCAGCGGTCTCTTCCTCAAAACAAGAACGACGGTATCGATGAGCTCATAGAACTTGCTGAGGTAGTAAATGTACGACCAAAAAAACACCGGACCGGCGGAAATCGTTCCACGGGGAAAACACAGAACCAATTTCCACGGAGACTTGAACCCCCAAATCCACTTGCTGCTTTCAATCTGCAAAGCGGATGCTTGTAAACAACCGCAAAACATGACCAGCGAGCCCACGGAGAGCACAATGTTGTGCAAGATCGGAATTGGCCCCAACGGCACAGGAGTTTTTCTACTCTTCACGACCACTCGAAGAACGTAAATCAGCGCCAAATACCCCACGGCCCAACCGATCAAGACGGAGTAAGAAGCCGCAAATGTCTGCCCTTGCTTCCATCGGAAAGACGACACTTCCGGGCGCTCCGCGAGCCACCATCTCAAGCTCTCCATCGCATCACCACCACGAGCTCCACCACATTGCGCTCGCCGCGCTCTCGGCCTTTCATAAAGTCTGTAGATCCCAGCGGCGGCCCCTGTACAACTGAGCGCCTCACTCCACCTCTAATTCTGCTCCAGCTCAGTTTAGGTCCAACTATTTTGGCCTCGAACCCTCAAGTTTTAGCAGCTCCGGTGGAATTCAGCGGCATTCTTTCTCTTCCGATTTCCTTCATTTATCGACTCGGTTCTTCGTGGGCGGAGGTTCTGATATTTCAGGACGTTTCGGCCGAATAGAGCCGAAATTTCCTCACTCCCTGTCGAGCAGTTGCGGGCTCAAGGCCTGCGAGTTGTCCAGCAGCAGCAGCAGCAGCGAAGGCATGAGAAGGGTCGTGATTATGGGAGAAACTGTGGTCGTTTCATACGGACGGTTCTGGAGAGGGCATGTACTAGGCCGCTGGGCTGCCTCAAATCGTCCCGGAGCAAGCGATGAGTGAGTGAGTAACATGGGTTGCAGCTTTTCTGCACAATAAACAACAATGGGTTGGCTCCGTGTTGGTCCACTCATTGCCGGTCGTTGATTATCTAAGATAATCAACGATCTAAGATAATTTATCGTTGATTATCTAAGATAATCAACGATAACCAAGATAATTTATCTTCGAGACTCGGTCGGGCCCGTGCGGTTTCGACTTTCATTCTCGTCTTCGTTTATGGCAATTGCTTTCCGGATCCTGTCACGATCTCTAGAAGTGGCTGCTCTTGTACAACCCGTCGCGTCACAGGTCTACAGCACAGCGCAGCGCAGAGTTTGCAGTCAACGTTCACAAAGTTTGGCATCATATAATGGTCTCCAGAATCGAAGCTTATGTAAAATATGTAAACCAAAAGGTTTCAAAGCGATACAAAGTGCATCATACAGAACATTCCTTAGTACTCTTCTGGTGAGAATCGTCAGCAAGAGGACCTTGGTGATAAATCGTGCACCTCATGGGTACGAAAAGGGCGACAGTATGTGAGAAAGACAGCTGGAGGTCTCTGAATGACTAGAAGGGGCAAAGTGATTTATTATTAATTAAAATAATTCTAACATCCGGAGGACCGATGTTAGAATAGTTCCTTTTTTCAGGAGTAGAAGTGTCGAGAAGACGATAGGAATTTTGGTGAGGCTCTCGACAAGGAGATGAAGTCCAAGCTAAGTTTTCTACATATAAAGATTAGATAAGTTGATTATTAGCCCTAAAGTTTCCATTTGGGATAGTGAATTAGAGAGAATAAAAATTGAGGATAGTTACAGGTTCAATCGGTAATCTGAATATAATGTAGTTTAAATTTTTTGCTTTGTTGCTCAATAGTGTTAATGCCATAATGGGTGTGCTGATTCGGTGAGAATCATAGCTCTGTAGTGAATGTAACATATCGATGACACAAAGCGGGCTCGAACAAGGATAAGCAGAAAGGAATTTGAACCAATCGCGGAGCACGGTTGGTATAAGCAGGATAGAGCAGTTTCTGCTAACTCCGTTATTATGAGCTGTCTCGACGGACAGCAGTGTTCGCAATGCATCGGACCGGTGGCAAATAATAAGAAGGCTCGAAGAACGAGAGGAAGGTGACAATTCGATCCAATACCTGACTCCGGGGAAGTGAGTTCCATCATCATTTTCGAGGTAATGCGTGAAGGAAGAAGAACGAAGGAGATGATGTAGTAATGCCATTGCACAATAAATGAAACCAGGAGTTGAATATAGAGTTAACACAAGAGATCACAATAAAAAATATTTCTATGGTACATAAGAATCTTCATTATCCTATCAATACTAACTCTAATTCTTTTTTTTATCTAACGATAGAAATATGTTTTCTGATATATAATAAAATTAAAGTACTAGATAAATATTATCTATATATTTTTTCCTCTTAAACAAAGATTTCTCGCATCGAATTCAACTCTTAAACACATTGGTTATTGCCCCTCGTCTCTCATGTAAGGGTATCAAAGTACTTCTGGACCTGAAATCGAATAGGTTACAATTTTTTCACAAAGCATGAAAAATTATTCTTCTCAAACGAGTGTCCCTGATAGAATCTGAGATAGTATATCTGTAATTTTGTAATGGTATGAACTCCAAAAGTTTTTTCAAAATAATTCAACATTCCAATAAAAAAATAAAAAATAAAATAAAACAAAATAGACGAATAAACGAAATATTATATATATATATATATATATCAAAGGTTAAAATATTAAAACTGAAACTAATTTTGTTTAACCTTTTGAATAGTATTATCTTTTACATACTTGTCGTGTGGAATCTTATTAAATTTAGAACATTCTCCCAAGTGATTAAAGAAATTTGATATAGATTTATCAGACAAGCCAAAACCTTACTGATGCCAAATTACTTCATTTCAATACAACTTGTTCGTGTGACCTCATGTACAAAATATCTATAATTTACTATAATAGATATTCATCCACATTCCATTACAGTTGGATGTAAATTTTAGGGTTTAGGACTAGGGCTAGGTTCAAGAAACCCAAACAGAGCAGGGTGTCACCTGTTGCTCACCATCGTGGGTTTTCTGTTAATCTTCCCGCAGATAACATCGAAAAGGTGCAGTCAAGTGATTCTTCGTTGTTCACTTACCAATTTCGCACACGATTTTCATTTGCCCCTCAAATGGGTGAACTTACTAATGTCTGCAACTTGAAACTAGCTTAAGTGATTTTGAAGCTTGTAGTTTCTATTCTGAAGATTCGAGATCGATGATTCTTCAAATATATCACAACAGGACACTTTTTAGATCCTCACATGTATCCAAATATTTAAAAAATATGAATTTGCGTAATTCTGCTCATCTTAACAATTTTTATTTCCAAATCACTGTTGGACTGAATTTAAATACTCTCTTCCTATGCCCATCACCTTAAGAATACTATGAAAAATAAAAAATGGAAGTACAAAAGTACAGCATTCCCGCATTCAGAATTTTCTGGCTGAAGGTTTATAACAAGTCTCTAGTCTGCGAAAGGAGATGGAAGAGAATCGGTCAATCATCTGCAAATGACGTATGTTTGTTAAGTGCTGCACATTCCGGAAACCGGAGTCCCAACTAATCGTTGCCCACTTTCCAACTGCACTACTTAGCTGAATCGTTATCTAGATTACAGTAAAAATATATACAATTATACAAATAGGTAGGATGCAGAACCCCGAAACTAGAGGAAAGTGAAAGCTGATTTCTTCTGATGTGAACTTAGGCATAGGAAGCCAACGAGAAGAACCAAATACCTCCTAACCCACCAAATTTAGGTAGTTCGTGCATCCAAATAACACTTCGTGCAGGAAAGGTCGACTACAACGGTTTATACACAGCAAACTCTGTAATCTTTAACACCTTCTTCATGATAAGTTGCTACATCATCAAAATGTGATGATCTAGAATTTCTCAGCTTTCAAAACCCGCTGATTCATCTGCTTTCACAGCTCCGGCTTCTGCTGAGATGAATAAGTAACTCAGGATTTCTTCTTGATGGGATCTCCTAGCCACCTGGCTCGAAATCCCGTGCCTTTACAATCATCACAAGGAAGCGTGCCCTGCAGCAAAAAACATAAATCATGAAGAGTTTCTACAACGTCCAGAAGTTTTTCAGTTCGTCAAGTGCGATTTGACATTCGAGTGACGAGTAAAGTAACGGGAACTCTGTGTGCAGTAATGAGATATACAATACATTAGCCTGTTTTGCAGGCATAAATAGATGCAGGTCAGCTATCTCTCAGCATTCGAGAACATGTAGTAGATAAATGCAACATGTAACGAAACTAGACACCTAATCACACAACGCTGTAAAACTGTACTCGTAGTGATATCAGGTTAAGAGCCGTAAATCTACCAGATTTGACAGGAAGAATATGGCTTCATATCTATAAATTTCAACATACCATAGAACGCAAGCTTGAAGCAAACTACATCTATTCGGACTTCAACTCAATTTTTTAACAGCTCAGCTCCTTCAAAAGTGATGATTTTGCTAGAATATTCTAACAACAAGATCTGTATCGATTGAATACAGTAAAGTCATTTCAGAGGCCATAAGACTCACTCACCACACAAGAGAAGTAAGACAAAGTTAATGTATAGCACCAAACCAGAGTTCCAGAGCACGTAACTTTAGCTTTTATATTCTTCCTTCCATGGTACTAAACGATCTCAGGACTATTTGAACTACTCCATATTGATATACAGAAAATTCCGGTATTTTGAAATGGTGTGAAGAATACAATTCAAATAGTACTAATGCCTACCGTGGATCAAATGATCGATTTCATACCTGACCAAAACACACTACGCAAGATGTGTTTCGAGATGGGACTTCACAAAGCATAGAGTCGCCAATAATAAAAAATCCAGTTCCCTTGCACCAAGGACAGTCCACCCGTCCCGAAGTCTCACAAGCCTTGCATTGCACTGGCCTTGGTTGCTGTAAGACCAATCGATAATAAAAGCTCTACTCAAAACCAGCCACTTCAATTTACAATCTTGCACACAGTACGACGCTTGAAAAAATTAAACATTAGGGCAAACCAAACTAGCTGACTCTCTTCGTTGGCATCAGTCTTTGCACCGAATCGAATGGAGCACGAGCTCACAACTCACAGAAACTGCAGGCATGGCTTACGTTAGTAATTGACCAAGTCTGCTCCACCCGCCGAACAAAGTCATTCACGTTATCTTGAGCACCATCAGAAGGCTGTAGAAGCACGGCTTGCACTTGCGATACTCTCGTACTTCTCTTTACTGATCTCGAAGTACATGGACCCGAGAAAAGTTTTAAATTCAAATTTCTAAAACAAGGACAGTAATTGACACTCAAACCCGTCGACAAGTGCGTGACATCGAGAGCAGTGACAGAAGCTGGCACTAAAAGCCCTGTCCCAACCGCCACAACCTCCATATTTACCCCGGTAAAATTGAGCACGAGTTTCTGTTCGAATTTCAAAAGGAGACGATCCTCCTTATCCAAGACCCACTGCGCGCAAAGTCCCCCTAGAAACCTGATCAATTCATATCAATCCCAAAACTAAATCCACGAATTCGAAGGACAGCTTTCTTTCCCCAGCGGACTTCAATTTAAGCCCTCGCGCCAGCCAAAACAGCAACCCATAGTCCCCGAATAAATCTCGTTAGGCGATCATCTTGATTGCGAAGAATACGCTGTCTCCAACCCCCGCATACTTCCTTCCTTCCCAGGTCGAAGCTCGATTGATCGGTACACGCTTACGCTGCACTCTGAAAGTTGACTCGATCAGTGCAGTAGGAAAACAGGGGCTTGCCTCCGGCAGAAGCAGGCACTCTCAGGTGCTAAACGTGTCCTTATCTCTGGGCTTGCCGCCACCATCATTTCCCATTTAATAATCTCTCAATAGTCCCGAAGTTAGACGACATTTCGGCTTTTCGGCCCGTAGAGACTGTACTCGTCGGGGACGGTATCTGACTGAGTTCCAAACCCAAACGGGACTTGGTCACTGGGACAACGAAGAACGAAGTACAACGGATTCTCAACTCCTCGTGAGTTGACTAGACTACTGCACGTGGTGTGCTGTAAAAGATTGTTCTTGACACGAGGTGAGTCGTACGTGGCAAAAAGCTAGGGTGATATGGACTTAGTGAGTGTGTGACTGGATCAGTCTAGAGATTGAGATGTCATTCGCCGACGTGGATGAATCAGGTGAAGATCTCCAGTTCTATTTGTTACAGGAAGTGACGATGGATGGAAACCAATTTGGTGGACCAAGGGAGTTCGAAGTGCTTCGGGTCTACACAGCCCATCCAGTCATCGTTCCACCTGAAAAGTAAAGGCTAGCCGTATATTGCTATGTTTCTCACTTCTCCACGTCATTGTCTATCACATGAGCAGGTTGTGATTTGTCGAGAAAAAGTGATGCCGGACTTAAAAGCTTGAAAACACCAACATCCATATGGAATGGGTTAAGAAACCATTCACGAGGTCGGATGCACAATATAGTTGGGTGAAGTATTTGGATTCAACGTAAATGTATCGGTATCAAAACATTATCATCATAAGTCTTACAATAAATTATCAATCTCAGACATTATATGCTCAAAGTATTTAGTGAGTTAAAGTCATCAATAGATATTCATTGGTGAATCTCTACATATCTTACCCGCAGTGCATATCCACAGGCAACAAAATCAACGCATTTTCGTTCTTTGAACTGCTGGACTAACACATCTGAACTCTTCATGCCGAATATGTAGCAGCAATCATTGCTCTCACATGTGAATCTTGATATAACACTTCCTTCATTTAAAATAGAGAATGTGTCACGATTTATGTAGCGGCTATGAGGAGAGATTACAATTTGGACACAAGGTAGAATTTTAACCTACTTTGCTCCATTTTAACCATTTAACTGTGTTAACGGTCCTAGAACTATGTCAAACATTTTCATAAGTATTAAATTCCCTTCCCAACTTCAAAAAATCAAAAATGAATGTCGATCTACTCAATTTCTGTAAAGCTTCTACAATTATTAAAATTGAACTCAAATTTTAAGCTATTCAACACTTTTAAACATATTCTTACATTCCCTCCAAATTTATTTCAATACAGTTCCAAATTTTCATAAAACCTCAGAAATGATTTCAAAACAATATCACTCATCCATACTTTCCAACCCATGAAAATTAAGATGAACTTTTGACATCAATGTTAGATAGGAACAGAACTGTCTCAAAAGTTCTAAACTCAATTCACCTTTCATTATCTCAGATCAAAATTTTATATCCAACTCACATATATCACAAAACATCATATAAAAACTGAAAATTTAGTTCAATGGAAAAGCGAAACTGGTGATAATATATAAACTTATTTCCATCATTTTAAAATTTGGTAAATTTAGTAGCTTGTTTGAAACCCAAATTAATGTATTCATTTTCAAAAGTCAAAGTACACTATTTTTGGTAAATTTAAGTGCGTATTATCATAATTAAAGCAAAATACACATGACTAGATCACAAAACACATCTTAAAAATCAAAACCTAGGGTATGAATGAGTTTGAAGTTTTATCCATCATTGCATGAAATTCTGTCTTGATGAACATGGTATATAAATCATGTTTCATCATATGTGAAACAAAATCTTTACAGATCTTCATAAATAGAGTTAATAGAATTATCAAAAGTTATTGATATTGTATTCTAAACTTGAAGTATTTACATGAGTAAATGAATATTAAATTTTCTAATAAAAATAAATCTACAATATTTAAAAAATATTTTCACATAGTAAGTTATTTAATTTTCAGATTAATTATATCAAATAGGCTAAATATTTTTTCTGAATATATTTATTTTTAAAATAAAAATTCGAATGAAATTTTTGTAAATAATATAATTTCAAAAATTTTAATTAAAAAAACCAAATTAATTTCATTTTTTAAATTCTTTCCTATTAAAAAAATTGATGATGTTTACAAATGAGGACTGAAACTCATTATTTTAAAAGTACAAAATATCATAAGTTTTTAAAAAATATAATAAACTTTATGCTATTTAATCAATTTTAAATTTCATCTTTTTCTATATTTTTTATATAAAAAATTTCTATTAATAAAATTTAAATTTTCCCAATTCAAATTTTTTTGAATAGTATATGTATTGACAAAAAAAATTCACGAATAATAGATTATTAAAAATTCAACTTTTTATTCAACGCATTTCAATATTACAATGGAAAAAAATGATGGAATTAAGAAACAATATCATTGCAAAAATTTCGAAAAAAATATTTTATTTGCAAATCAATATTTTTGATTTTGATGTTACAATTTTGAAAGCTATTTCACATTTAATACTTTTTGAAGATTTGTAGTCAAATGATGTTAATTAACATCAACATATTAAGATTGATTGTGCAAGTGTTAGAGATATATGAACTTACAAATTATACGATGTGATCGAATATGGATTTGTAAAAATTCATGATGAAGTTTGATATAATAAAATTAAATGTTGATTAAGCTAACAAAATTTATATAGAAAAAAATAGCAAGATAATATATTTCAAACATGATGAATAATATGATTTATAGTTATATTTTATAATTGATTAATGTCTGCGTTCAGATATTAAGAATTGTGAAGATTTCAAATGGTGACTTATTCTATGTATTTCAAATTTATGAATGTGAGTATTGAATAGACTAAGCATGTGATGAATATATGACTTTCCCATCATTGATAGGTTATTTGATCATCAAATCGATGAATGATATATGGATACATCATGAATTTTTTTTTGTTAAAGCATACTATGTAGTTAACTTTATGATTATTAAAAATCATAAGTATATATCTATACAATTTGTATGTGATTGATAAATTGTTTGATCATCAAATTGATGAAGAAAAAAAAACTTAAAGAAATATTTTTTATGATCTTAGTCTTTTATTAATGATAAGTATATGAATTTAACATTATTATATCAATCTTAATAAAGTTGGTCAATCTAGATTAAAAATGTTTGTTATGTAGTTAGATAGTCAAAAAATTTTGTTTAATTTCAAAAAAAAAATTAATCTTATTTTATTTCAAATAATATGTGACACGTTGTTTATTTAATGTACAGATTGATTAAAGCTTGTTGAATTTGAAAGCAATTTCAACTGAACATGATTATGAATAGATACGATTTATTATTGTGTATACAAACTGATTCTATGTTATGAATTGAGGTATTGTTCTTTTGAAAGTTTTGCAACTTTGTAGACATGGAAAATTTTGTAGATTAATTTTTTGGAAAGTCTTTCACTATATCACTTTATATGTTTGTGTTTACAATGAAGCATATATTCGACATTGACGAAAGCTAGATTGCAATAGTTTGTGATTGCATGTAGTTGTGATACACATACACTATCAAGTAAATAAAGAAGACATAGAACATGCAAATCAAGCAAAAAAAAACAAGACTTTACATAAACATGTGAGAATCGTATCCAAAAACTTCAAACTAAACATATCATATTTCTTCGTGGAATTCTACTAAGTCGTGTAACCTTTCGTCATTCATGGAATTTAGTATTCAATCTCATAATCACGTAATTTTACCTACTGCTGGCACACATTTCTTGTTTTATCAGTCCTACTCTGATACATAACTCGTACAAGTTAGTATTGTCCCGATATAGCATGTACACTGCATGTTGCATAGCCTGTTTAGCGCTGGCATTCACCTTAGTACCGAGTATGACCAACCGTCATTACAACTTACAGTACTTTGCGATCTCGTGCGAATATAGATATAAATGGTAGTAGCTTCTTCATGCAATATCCGGAAGCTGTTTGATAATTCCTTTCTTTCAAATCCATATGCAACGATCCACCGAAATTACACTAAGTTCAATATCAGGGTTTCAAGACAGACCTGGAACGCTGAACGCCAATCAGCAATCATCACAAAACCCACTCCCGTTCCATTTAAAAAATGTTGATAACTTTAAAAGATCCAAAAAAAAGTTGGATCCTAAAACAATAGTCTTCGTAATATATTCCGAAGCCGAAGGAGATTATAATTCTTATTTCACGCGTCCTTAGCGACCAAAACTATGATGGAAATGATTTCTCACCCTCAAAATTTACCTCATGCCTTTTCGTGATCCCTTAACTGTTTCTTTCGTACCCATAAAATACACTACTCGGTTCCTCGGATGGGGGGCTCCTTAAGAAACCCCATTTAAACCTTACTAAGTACGTAATACACAGACTTTCAGGAGATATTTTCCATGTGACAGACTTACCTCCAAAATTTTTCAATACGTATCTTCCATCCAATAGAGCACACATTGTCCTTGTAACGTTTTGAGTCATCGATACTTCGGTATATTGCTAAACCCTCCTTCTATTGACTTCTCGACAACAATTCGCATCCGGGCCGAAAACCTACTTACGCCGCAAAGTAGTGAGAAAGAATTTCCACGATTAAATCAAATTTTCCCTGGCCCAGTGTGAAGCTATCTGACAGAATAGGCACCTAAATTATTTATTATTATAATATATAACAATTTTCCGGTAAGTGTTCACAGATTCGACTGCCTCGCTCTTTTGTTGTTGTAAGATGTGATATATCTTCTGTACTAAGATAGAAAGCTCATGGAATAATGCAAAGCTAGCGTCATTTTCACCGACAGAGTTCACTTTAGGTAGGTTGTTTGGGCACTTTGTCCTTGTTGCTGTATACAATTTTTCCCCTATCTGTCTCTTTGACTATTCAGGCGAACTACGTTAGATTTCACGACATATTGTACTGGATGTTTCTTTCTTCGAGTGGTTGCTTCTTAAATTCGAGGAAGCATTCTGAAAGATACTGCAGTGTGCAGCTATAGCCACGGAATGATGTGAACCATGCAAGGGGTCTGGACCTAGGGAGCGGGTTCATACGGGCCAAAGATGTGACAGAGCTGTGGGCCATGGCTAGATTTCATTACATCATCATCCAAGTAGACCTCGATTCCCACCAAACTGATGCTGCTCGTTAGCGAGAGACAACTGGTGAAAGTCACCTACTATCATTCCCTACATTCATTTCCAACAGACTCGTTGAATATGTCCATGACCTAGTTTACGTAATTCGTCAAACCTGCCCCTATGGTAGATTACCTATGCATGCGGGAAGGAATCTGATGCAGGGTTTAACCTTTGTTTAGGACTGAACTACTACATATCGAACCATGGTATGTGGCTACGCACATTGTAATCATAACTCTGAGAACAGAACGTAAAGAGACACTCAAAATTCTCTGCAATCACCGAGTACAACTCGATTGGTATTCCTTGAACATAAACATCGGGGCAAAAATATTACAGTGGAATTTCACATGGAAATTGCCGTCGCTGATATCACTAACAGATGTACCGCATCTCTCGATCACACTTACGCTCTACTAAAGCTCTACAAATTCTCGCCGCCTCCCTACTGAATCCTTCCTGTACGGACCCTGAGAAGGGTCGGACTTGCTCATTCGCTGTGACCCACTGTCTTTGAAGGGTCAGAAACTAGTGTAATTCTTTGCCTGCAAAATTGTAAGTATGATGGTTCAAAATTTTCCTATCTATCCTTTCGACAAATGATTAAAAATCCAACACCGCTTTCCGCTCCCCCTGTCGTCGACAAGGCTGCGACACGGTATTGACTAAGATGCGTAAACTTCCATAGACTCGCAAAATTCATAGGTTCGTCACCGAACGCTTAGTTTACAGTTACAGTTTCGTCAAACACACGGTCAATGGGATTCTCATCTCCGAAGATAGCTTCAGGACCTCGTCCAGGCACACTCCATGCTCAGGTGAGCTTCTCCACTCGAACTCCATGACCAACTTAGCCACCCACATCTGCACGGTCGCCATTCCCAATGCTCTTCCAGGGCATACTCTACGTCCAGCTCCAAATGGAGCAAGTCTCAAGTCGCTTCCCTTCACGTCAAAATCAATTCCTCCATCAGCCACTACGAATCTCTCAGGGCGGAATTCGAGTGGCCGCTCCCACACCTTGGGATCATGGGTTATGGACCACATGTTCACCATAGCAGTCGTACCGGCAGGTACGAAGTGACCGGCAATATTGACATCTCTGTTGCTCAGCCGGGCCCATGACAGGAGAGGGCCCGGAGGATGCAGCCGGAGCGTCTCTTTGACGACAGCTTGAAGAAAAGAAGCCCGGGAGATATGGCTTTCACTCACATTGTCTTCGTCTCCGACAATTGATCTCAGCTCGTTCCTCAACCTGGCCTGAATTTCCGGGTTCTTAACCAACTCGGCCATGACCCACTCCGTGAGGATGGCGGTAGTGTCTGTTCCACGAAATATCATCTCCTGCAGGTGCAATACGGCGACAATTAGATTGCGGAATTTCAACGTGGAACGAAGATTGGTTTTACTTCAGCAAAATTCCAACTGGGTATAATCAACTAATCTCCATGTGTACTCACCCAGAGCACAGAAATCATATCCGCGTCGGACAACTTGTCTTCTCCCTGCATACCGAGTAAAATATCCACAAAATCTCCGTAGGCACTGCAATCTTCCGAGGAAGCTCCTCTCGAACGGTGTTCGTCAATGATATTTTGAACGAAGGCCACAACTTTAATTACGAGCTCAGAACACCTTTGGTGAATATTTTGCGGATCGAAGGGCTGGAGCAGTGGAAGGTGGTCTGCCCAGTTGAAAGCTCCGAGCAGTTCAAACCCTTCTCTCACCATCTCCTTCAGCTGGATTCCCTCAGAACTCTGAAAATCGTAGAGTCTGCCGAATACGCCCCCCATTATGTTGTTGAGGGCAGCGTGCTGCAAATAACTCCGTATCTGCACAGTTTCATCGGGGCGCTCCTGGATTTGTTCGTGCAAGAATCCGATCACCCTCTTGAACTCTTGCTGACGTGAAGGTTCGTGAGCGGTGATTCGCTTGGGAGAGAACAGGTGATTGGCTGCAATCCTCCGAAGTCTTCTCCAATATTCGCCGTGAGGAGCAAATCCAATAGCGCGGGCGAACAGCAGCTGCTGCGCAGACTGTTTAATCGGACGATCCGAGAATGCTGTGCTGTGGAGGATTTCACGTGCTGATGCAGGGGTGCTGGCGACAATCAGCCTCGTACTTCCCATGCTCAACGCCATCAAACGCTTCGCGCAGTGAATCTCAGCCAGCTCGCTCAGGGTCCGATGGGCCTTCGAGCCCATATCCATGAGGCTACCAACGATTGGAAATCCGCGCGGACCAGGAATCGGTTTTCTTCCACGATAGAGGGCCCAAGCCGCCCCTCCAGGTCCAGCCCAAAACAGAAGCAGAATAAAAGCACATATCACACCCAAGGTAAGTATCGTCATTCCACAGTGCCCTTGCTCGTTGAGAGTCGAGCGGCCGCCTTTCGTGAGCAGGGGGAGGGCGAACATCCAGAAGCCGCCCGCCCCGCCGCTCATGACACCGTCGATAGACATTTCTTCCCAAATCCCACTCTGTGCAAAACCCTCAAGCAGCTCAAGGCGCACACTCGAGCCAAGTCAGAGACGAGCGGCTCACAAAGCACCCAGAAGAATTCGAGACCACGACCGACGAGATCAGCTTCAGCAACACAGCTGCAAGAATGACTCGATTCCTACATCGACCGCACTTCGAAACAATCCCTCGAAGTGGAGAGGATCCGGACTACAAGGACACGAGGACGAACCAACAACCGCACGACGCGAAGAGAGACGACTGGGGATGATGATGGAGGCGGCTGGGAGCCGCTGGACGAGCCAGATACGCAGCAGCATAAACCCCGCCGGGCGCTGCACAGCACACCACCGAACGGAGACGAGAGGAAGAAGAAGTCGAGCCGCGAGGCCGAGCTGCAAGTTGAGGTGGGAGAGCGAGAGAGGAGAGAGAGCTCGAGTATTGAGTTCAGGAGGATTGATGGAATCTGCGGAGCGGCTCCGCTGGAAGTTGCATGCGGCTGAAGGGACTGATCGGTCGGAAATTGGCGTGCCGGAGCTATATAAACGACAGGGCGTGAGGCTGTAACTAAAGTCGGCGGGTGGGAGGAGGGAGGAGGAGGAGGAGGAGAGGAGGCGAGAAGGAATGCGAGCTCGGGTCGAAGAGACGGCGCGCGGCAGAGCTCGTGAGATCGTATATGGTAACACGTGCGAGAATGCGTTTTGTCAGTGGCGATATAATTTTCCAACGTCCGATGTGCTTACAATTCAGTTGGTATGCCGTGCATGCACTCGCATACATGCGCCAAGTACAAGCGGGCATGGCATCTCATCGCAGCGCAGCCACATCCGCATCGCCTTTCCGGACTGAGCCCTGGAAGCGCGGGCGCGCGGGCGGGCGGGGGAGCTACGTCGGTGGAGGAGTCCGTCCGCGGGGGAGAGAGTCGACGGACGGGACGGACGGAGGGGCTTTGTCGCGTAGCTGCCTTGTATGGATTTTCTTTAAATCTGCGCCGCCACCCCGCAAATGGCGAAGAAGGCGATAATCAGCACAACGGAATGGAACCGTTAACGGGAATCCCCGGAAGGCGGGGGCCCGCCGGGCAGGCAGTGGCTATTAAGCGGGCGATTATTAGTCATAAGAGGTACTTAAGACAAACATGCTGGCCTTTTGACGTTTTGTGCGAATATGCGTTCGGCTTGTGGTGTAGCTTGGAATAGCAAGTGGGAGGGAGTGATATCAGGTTAAATATACCAGGCCTAACGCTCGATTATAGGGTGACGCGTTACATGCTGCTTATTACCATTAGACAGCGGGTAATGAAATTAGAAACGGATCAGCTGCGTCGCGTTCTATTTATGCAACGCTTGGACGATAAATCTTAAATTTCTCTAGTGGTGCCATTGCAACTGAATGAGTTCTGAAGGATCCGCAATGGCTTCTCTGGGCGCTTTAATACGTACCAACTTCCAACTCCTCCTCCTCCTGGCCATGAAACAATGCTACCGTCCTCCGATGCTCATCCTGGTGCTTCCGCGTTTATACTGCTCCAGAGGTATGGCAGGTATTCATTTTGTATTTGGTCCGCTGTCAGGCCATATCGGCCTTGCACACCTGATGACTCACACCTGCTTTAATTGGCCTTCATACATCCACAAACTCATACGGGTCTATGAGAAACCTTTTAATGGCATTTATACTCGCCCGCTTATGCACATCTATCTGCTACCGATTGGCAAGATTTCGGCATGAGCGGATTGCACAACCAGATATTGAAGACACGCGACTAAAATCTCGGAGGAGGAACAAGCACATGATCGATTTTTTTATTTTGGATCGGAGGAAACCTATTTACTTGGCAGCAGAGGAAAAGAGCGACCTAAACATCGCCATTTTCTTATGGATGCTGCCACCGTCCGAGGTAGCGATTCCCGATGCCTGTAAAAGCAAGTTTCCCCTTCATCTCGTGATCTCGACCTAATCAGACTGCAGTTGAATCATTGGACACTGTAACTCCCATCGAAAACGATGGATATAAAACGGTCCCTGCCGCCTTCATTCAGGCATCCGGTTCCACGATTCGAGGATACAAGCCGTGGCAAATCTGGATACGTCTTTCGACGTCAACCAGATATACGCTACAAGAACATCGAAAGGAATTAGCACATAATGTAGCATCATCGTAATATAGTGTCATCACGGTATGGGATAATCATTATGATGACCGGTTCTCGGACCTGAATATTTCTATTTCTCACATGCATTATACGTGCATTAGTACGTAGTTTGGTCTTGATTTGGTTTTATCCTCGTACGACTTGATTTGGCTCTCCATGTTTTTTTTCCTTCGTTTCTTTGTACGACAAAAAGTATCAGAAGACAAGGAGAACCACGTAAGGCTCACTATTGCATCGGTCTGTTACCTACGGATCGGTGCCAGAGCCGTAGAAAGAGGTGTCATTATCAGGTAGAGAGAAAGATTGCTAAATGGTAAGCAGAACGTCGCTATAAACTTACACCCAGGAAGTCCTCTCACCACCTTTTCCCGGATCAGAAGCTTCCGTCGTCCCCGTTAGAAGATTGTGTACAAACAAGCAGCGATGGCGATTACAGGAACAACCGTAGGCCAGTTGGAATAACCACACGAACAAGGTACCGTAGACAGAACACCGTTTGGCAGGTTTAGAAACAAGGACATAGCTACCCAGCGAAATTTTTCGATGTGAACTCCAAACAGAACACGTGAAAAGAATAAAGAAACGGTAAACATGTAGGGACCCAACCTACGAAGGCTAATCTAACCAGGACGAATGTTAGGAAATCCGAGCCACACCTAGGACCAAAACAGTACGAGATGCTCGAAGAGACAGCGAAGAATTCGAGGAACTATACAGAAGTAGAAAGCAACCAAAAAATATTTTTATACAAGTATTAAGTATAAATATATGCACTTTGTTACAGTAAAGGGATAGTATCCTCAGAAGAGGGAGCTGACACCCGCCACGGGTTACGTATCCATCTCCTCTTGAATTAGCGCGATCGCACAAGGCTCCTTCGTGCCTGTGATCCTAACTCTCTTACAGAAGGAGCAAGAACCTGCCTGTGGTCCGCAGTATCCACCGGACCATCACACTTCATACGTGTGGGGGATTATAATCTAATTATGCATCTTGTAAGTGCTTAAACATATTCATACTTAATTATTGGAACACCGTATTCGAAACTTTTTGACTGATGCTACATCTCTACGTGTTGGAGAACTTTTCGGTCAAGTTAGTGTCTTCGCAGCCAAGTCTACAGCAGAGATCCTCCATAGTATTTGCAGATATTTGCATGTATGTGCACCTCGGAGCACAGCATGAACGACAAGACCTCATTGTGGTTCTCATTCCGCTCCACAGCAGACAATGTATAGGATGAGGACGCGGTTTTTAAAGACAAGATGCTTTTGTGCTAGGCAAAAAGAAAAAGTTTGAGACGGCACAAACTTTCTTCTTTTCGAATCTGAACAGGACGTCTCTTTTTTACGGGTGCATGGCCGAGGCCCGCCCGAGGAGACGACCCCTCGAGACATAAACTTTCGGATACCAAATTAGTATGCGAGAACAAGAAACCTAATCTTCCAAGAGAATTTGTACCGGGGGAGAAGAAAGAACAAACAAATACCCAACTTGCCCCCATGGCAAGCAGCAAACCGAGCCGACGCGCGAAAGTGTGGACCAAAACTCGGAAACGATACCCAGGTGACGCCCAACGTGGCGACTGCTGAAGTGGGCACACACCGAAGTGGATTTGGATAACCAAAAGGTGCGGAAAAGAGTGGGACCTCGACTCGGCAAATCTAAGCTTTTCTTCGTCGCGCGATTCACATACCGCACTCGAGCGTGGAGTGTTTGGATATGAGCAAACCTCTTGCTTTCTCCTTCGAGGCGAGTCTAGATTCGGGGGACCCCTCCGACTTCCTTTCTAGGCGGAAAACAGGAACCCGCCCTAGCGAGCGCCAGCCCTAGGACCGCGTCCTGCGAAGTCCTCCACCCGTAGCCTCCGAACGCTACGACCTACCGCCCGTGACGCCCGTGTCCCGGTCACGGGCCGTACCTCGTGTACTCACTCTAGGGAACGCGGTGACGCCGCACTAGGTTGGTTTCCTTGTCCCTGGCCCGCCCGCGGCCCGCCGTCCGTCCTGGCATGGCAGTACGGCTCGCTCGCTCGCCCCAACTTGCACCCTCCCTTTCGCCTACTCGCGCGCCTCTGGAACCACATTAACGAAAGGCGCTGCTTTCGTAATTGCGGCCAGGCCCAGGCCCAGGGCCGCGAGCCCTGGCGACCTGTGGCGCCAATGGCAGATTTGGCTCGTCGTTTCATACGACGACGACCTCGACCTCCGCTGCGAATGACTTTACCCTCGCCCGCTGCGTCACTCGCTCTCTCGTCGCCGGGTCGGGAAAAAGTAGTTAGAGGCTCTCTGCGTACCTTCTTGCCTCTGCTCCTCCTCGAGCATCATTGTCTCTAAACACGTAGCAGCCGTTTTACAGCTACTTGACGCCCTGTTCTAGACACGTGTGATGGGAAGGTTTATTTTATCCTGACGCCGACGTCAGATCATCTCTTCTGTCAAACAAGTTGCTCCCGCTCTTGCTTCGGTTTTGTCTCAACTTACTCGTCAGTGTGGGTTTTGCCATGTTTAATATTAATTGTGTATTTCGGGTTGTTATTTGCAGTTCTCGATTTCTATGACAGCAATAATCTACCGTTTATTGCTTGCGACTCTCCCCGTCGGTACTTCCTTCAGGCCTGCCCGCGTTTAGTCCCGACTCATCGTATTATCTCCCTTGTTTAACTTTCTCACTTTCACGCTGCGACGATTGTCCTCACCGTGAGCCCATTCGCCTCTTTTGTACTTCATTCTGCAGTTTTCTTCTCAGAGAATTCGTGGTTTCCCTCAAACATCTGGTGGAGTCAGGATTTGCAGTTTGCTCTCGGTGGTTAATGTACTGTGAGCGCGCGGGTGGATAAGGCGGGGACGACTGTACTCGCTGCAGTCCCTCATTCATGGTGGCAGAGTGACACATCGGTTTTCCAATAATTAACGACGCTGATGATGATGATGGAGGTAAAGAAAGATTATCAGAAACAGGAAGTTGTTCGCAACTCAAAGATCACCTCTCAACGTGCAATGTCAGTTTTGGAATTCGAGATAAATCATTGGCGATTGTAAGAGCACTAACTCACTGGGAATGACTGCAAGGTTCTAACCGGGAGCCTCCACGTCAAGGTCTCGATCGATTGGAAACATGTGTTCCACTGAGAGTAGTTACCTGCCACAAAGCAATCATCTTTTAGGATAAGAAAACGAGGTCCTCCTAGTTAAGCGCACCGTTGGACCACGGTCAGGATTTTCGTCCCGTGATGTGAACATAAATGAAAGTCTTTACAAACATGTGTTAGTCAATCCAATAAATGAGGCAGATGTAGTCTCGTCCAGTAAAGCGGGGTGTTTATTGTGAATATTGAATGGAAGAGAATTAAGCTCGAGAAAACCTTGCTCTCATGCCGCTAGTATCGAGAAGAGAAGAAAAGAGG